TAGATGAGCTGTACCAGAAATAACACTACGGCCGCATTCCATATTATTTTCTCAACAACGATCTCTGTTATGCTGGCTAAATTTCTGTCGCTCTATGGACTCTGGTATTTGCTACAACCTCATTCCTCGTTGAACTTTGGAGACGGCTATTTTTCTCTCTTTGTTGGCGATAATTCTGACAAAATCATTATTTCTGGATCTATCTTTCGCCATAACTCAGTTATCTATCTACGTCATGGCTTTTTCCATCCTCGAATTAAGGTTGAATGTGTCTTGTATCATATCCTATTCTTTGCTGTTCCTTGACATGTGCCTCAGGTGACAACAATGAGACTGATGACCTGACTAACAGAACGGCAAAAATGTATCAGTGTGAACAAAGCTTAACCCTAACAAACTCCTTTTTTTTCTCTTTTGGTTCAACTAATTAATTATACTCTTACTCTTGCGTTCTATACTTAACCGTAAACTAGCAAGGGCATACGTGAATTCCCTGAGTTTGCAATTCAATATTACCCAAGAAAGTAATGAGAGATTGTAGACTTTTTAGAAAGTGGAAGTTCCAATTAGTTAATAGAGAAGATTTTGGGAATTTATTTAGAAAAATGCCGTTATTAGCGTTGTTCTCGAACTGATCGTGGAGCGTATGTTAAGTGTGTTAGGGAACTGTTATGTACGACTGAAATTGACGAGAATTCCTACTCGACATTTTCCAGATTCTCGATATGTGAGCGGAGCACAGTACATAAGGAAGTGGGCTAAGAAACAACTGTTTGTTTGAATCCTATTACAGGATAACTAAATACCTCCAAATTCGGGGCAAACAGAAATAAATTATTTCAAACAGTTTCCTGGCTTCGCATGTGCGGCGATGTTACGATGGAAAAGTATTTTAACTTATCGAAAACCCTCTTTGGTAAACCGAATGAATAACAAAAGAGAGTTTTATTTTGGAAACTCAACGAAAGTTTTCGCCTACTTAAAGTGTGAGAGTGACTGGAACGAGATAGGAACCGAATCAAAATCATTAAAAGGCATGTTTTCTTAAGGCTAAACACTTATGCAAGGAAGAATTTACGGAATGAGCCATCACACCGAGTTGACTGTCACAAGATTTTATGCATTTTTTACTGTTTTCTACAGTAATATAGTTACCAGCATGGACAACAGCGAGCTTTCGTAGGTCTCTTTCATGGAACTGTGTTTTGCTTGTTTTTTCAGATATTTTGAAGTAATTCCACTGTGATAGTGGTCAATTTTGTTCTCAAGTAAGGTTACAACGCAAAGCCATGGCGAACGAAAAAATGCGCCCTTGACGGACGATTTATCAGCGTAAGTACTAGTGCAGCTCAGCTAATATTAATCACATAACCGTCAGATATCATAGCAATTAGTAGCAAACGTTTACATGTTTAATGGGCATCAGTGGAGGCCTAAATGGTCTCTAAGCATGGCCTCCTGCAGCATCAAATAGGTTGAAATATAGCTGCTAGGTATACTATTGGATCGAAAAAGACCTACATTGTGACATATGTGGGCAAATACACTTGATTCCCTTATGTTTGTTTTAACGTAAGAAAGTTGAGTATATTCACACTTTGTCTTGTCTGCTGTGGCAAGCAAAAGACTTGAGGTGGCTTGAAAGACCTTTTTCGCATCATGACTTTTACTATTTATTAATTCTTTTTATTTATTTTAAAATACTTTATTTTCACGAAAACTCACCAAAGCTGTGCCAAAAGCTCATGGAGATTCAGCAATTTAAGTGATTAGAGAGAAACTTGACATTTCTTCAAATGACGAACATCTTAAGCTTTTGCAAGACTTTCTTAAATTATTATTATGGGAAATGACATTTGTCAAAAATATAAATTAAAACAATCAACAACGATCATAAAAAAATATAACAGGGTAAGCGAATGAGGTTTTCTCATTTCTTTAACGTTTTTCCCTTCGGTCTTTCATGACAAAATCTATCACCTGCTGTTTTCATGAGGCTTTAATCAGACCTTCAATTTACATTATGGTCAGGTTTCGTGAGCATCGGTTGCGTAGGTAATACACAGTGGTTCGTTGCTAGGTTTTTTCCTCCCGGAAGCGCGGGCGCGTGAATGTCTGCGGTAATTGCCATTAGCGTTCCAACGTAAAGCAAGATGGCGGCGAATTTAAGTGAAGTCGTGTTCGATTTAAGAGGCCAAACACATTTTTCAGAGAGGGGAAAAACATTTTGGAACGCAAGTGAACTGGAGCTGAAGTTTTCTTTTGAGCGGGAATGGATAAAGGCGGTCAGGCGGGCAAAAAGACGACCAAACTATGGTATAGGGAAGATGAATAGGGGACTGGAAGAGGTTTGCAGCAACAAACTTGAGCTTTGTGGTCCACTGGTAGCGTAGCAGCTAGAGATCTTCAAGTTAACTTCCTCCTTTCACTTGGGTCCCCAGAAGGCTAAAGTTTGAGATACGCTCAAGCCTATTCCCATTAACAAGGAAGAAAGAAAAAAAAAAGGAAGAAAGAAAAAATCCCTGATGGGAACTGCAAGAATGAGTAACAGAAAACAAGTTACAACAATTGCAATATAATGTAATAGAATATAAAATGAGGTGAAGATGTAGAGGTGAAAAATTACAATAACGTAGACATAATAGAACAAATCAGGGAGATTATCGAAAAACTAAGACTTAAACTTGCTTCCGTCATAAATGGACTCGAAGGAGCTCCTTATAAAAATTACTGCAACGTCAGTGAAATTAATAATGCCCTCGACAGGGGAATGGTAAGGAGGCTCAAACTCGAAGAGCACGGGCCAGAACGGGAACGAAACCCATTCTGGTACGATAAGAGTACCTGCAGCTTTACAATTTGCAAAATGCCTAATAACCCGAGGAATCAATCAAGGACACAGCTAGCACTTGCCAACTAGTTTACCCAACCCAGTCGTAGCAAAAGGCATCGACTCCTTCGCCACCAGATTCTAATAGAGCGAATAGAACCTAGTGCTTAGTTTAAAGCTGTGGGAATTTGCAAACCGATCGACAGAATGGGGACCCCAGATACCATCCACCTGAGTGAAAAAATGTAAGGAAACCTCCCAGTCATCGCAATCAATGAACCTGCCAACCGCGTGCTCGTCAAGGGATTTAGATACCCAGTCTACTTTGAGATCAATTGTGTTCTAGAGAGCTAATCTAAAGACGGACGAAGCGATTTTGTGAAGATCTGGCTTCATGCTACGTTTGCGAATGATGGGGAGATCTTGCGATTATCCATAAACCGCAGGCTGCATAATTAGCCTGCAGAAATGGCAGATAAGCGGGGCTGAGAATGCAAATCGACAACTGGAAGATTTGTCACCGGCCGATTTTTGCCGAAAAAGTCAGTAAATGAGAATTTTGTAAATTGAAAATTACGACCATTGCTGTTTTTGTAATCATGATTCCGCGCATTTTTCCATCTTAAGAGTCAGCGCTAACGCTATCTACGATCTGTTATTCGAGGATTGTGGATTCTTTTATTTTCATTCATTAATGAAGTCGGCTTTTCTTGTCAATAAAGGGCTATTGTGTTTATATGATAAACAAAATAATACCTAGTTGCTTGTAGATATGCAGTTTCTCTTCTCGTGTTCAAGTCGAAGAGAAATTCCATATCTACGCGCGCCCATGTATTATTCTCTACATCTCAGAATATTGTAAGGCCACCCCAAATTTTTTTTTTTTGGATATTGCTATTCCTTAATAAGATCTACTTTGCTTGCATAGTCACTTGCATGAGCATTACAATATTTTGAACGAATACAGCATTTTTTGTTTTCTTTTTTAATTCAGCAGGGCGACAGTGGGGGTAGGAAATAAATGAAAGAAATGTAGGCCCAGTTGCATTTCGGTTAGTTTCGTGAGTTCGGCTACTTTGTTCATGCAAACTAAAAATAGGAAAACATGTGGGCGTGCAGTAGGCTTTGAGCTCAGCCGTGCGGATGTTGTAAGAGACAGGAAGAACGGAATTTTGAGCGACTAAACGCCACTGACACCTTTATATGCAACACCAGGAAAACAGGTGTGAAAAAATGGAATTAAGAATACATGTTATTAATTCTAAATGTTTCATTCTTTGACACATGAATTACGATTCTAATCGAGCACGGTAATTATTAGTATTTAATGAGGAAAAGTAACAACAATATTTAAAAGACATTAAATGGACACCTGTTTCTTCCTAGCTTACTGTGAGAGGAGGAAACTAGTGGTGACCTCTCAGTTTACGCTCATCGATATTTAACATGCTGATAATTATTTAACTTACAGAACATTTATGGAAAAGGATTGAAATTCTCTCTTGTCTTCGGATTTACGGTCATTACGCTTATCACGGACGGTCAATACCCCCCGATCTCGCTGCATTCCCTTGGTCAGAAATATTTTCCCGTTTTTCCTCTCAACTACTTATTTCATAAATTAAAAACTATTAACCTCCGTGGCTAGAGGTGGATATTTATCGAGCCGCGAATCCCGCGCGAGTTTCTTGGAGGTGGGGAGCAAAAGATATTCGTAGTTCGAGCAGTCAATCAGGGCGTGCCTTCAACGTTATCCACTGAATCAGTACTAATCAAACAATTGCAATTCCCTCGATTGTGATTGGTTTCGAAAAACTTCTATTTAACCCCTTATTCATTCGCTAAGTTGTTATCGAACAGTTCACTTGGAGGAGCCAATCATATTCAAAATTTTAGTTTAAATCAACCAATCCCAGCCCTTGTTTCAATCGCCATTGAAACAGTGTACAGACTTAGACTTTTCATGCAAATTTTCCCTTTCTTTGATAAACTGGCTATTCTTGGACCCCACTCAGTCCTATTGCCATTACATATGCTAACTCAATTATTACACTTCACACTTCTAACGAGTTATATATAAATCTCCTCTCACATTGCAGATAAATTTGATTCTCAAATTTTATTTACGGACATATATGAATACACATATACACATTAAGAGAAAAAAAAATTATCTTAGGCAATCCGGCTTGATCTTCATTTCGGCTTTGGTGATTTTATATTGAGACTCATCAGGCTTATATTTATTCCACAGTGCCCATCTTAAACCGTCTCTTTGTTTGTATTGACCGTTAAGGTTGGAGTTACCACAAATTGCTTTATTGGGATACCACCAAGCTCCAAATTTCTTAACACAACCGTGCTGCGTGTCTTTGTCCATTGTAAAAAACGAAGCGTTGCGGTTGTAATCAAAAGAATCACTTGCGTTTCCTACAGAGCGAAAAGAAAAGAAAAAAATAACTAAAAAAATTAACAGAATCATAACGGCATTTATTAAACGCTCAATTTCAGTCAGCTGAAAAAAGGCTCGTATCACAGTTAGTTTTTGAAGACAAAACAACGTAAGCAAAACTGCTTCGAAACACTGCGAAATTATTCAGATTTCATTACAATTCGACTGTCATCGCTTTCAGTATAAAGCTAATTTTCTAAGCCTAAACATCCAGTTGATAAATTGATTCATTTTTTCAGACTTTGTATGAATGATAATAATCATCATCCATCAGATGTGAATACCTGTTAAAACACTTCCAATAGTTAACGCATAATCTTTTAATTCCGGTTCAACAACGAACAAGTTGTACTCTTGGAAAATTCGTTGAATGCCCTGGGTGAGGTTAAATTCCAAATCTACTCTAAGTTTGTTCTTTGTTCTCCAAGTGAGACGGTTTATTTTGGTCAGTCCTAACCAAAACTCGCCATTCAAGTTACCGAAGCCACGCTTGAAGTCACACCAGCTACGATCAAAATTTACAGAGCCGTCCATTCTCTTCTGGATGACTGTCCACCCTCCTCCACCTGTGCTCTGGTCACAGTACACATCAAATGCACTTAAACCATCAGGATAAATCGTGTAGACACCGCTGGTTGTATTTCCAGCCTTGTAAAGCTCAGCACAATTAGCTGTAAAAAAATATGATAAGTCAAAAAATTTAACGGACACAGTCAAAGCCAAGTTTCAATGGAAAGTTTTATCGAGAAAAGTAGTTCCGTGTAGGTACTGCTGTATGGGAAATATAACTTCTATGCAAGGAAACAGAAATAACTAAGTACTCACCCGCAAATGATGTGATTGAACGACTCAATATTTGATTCCTAGAGGCCAACGTTAGGAGCAAAAAAATCTGGAGAAACAGTGGCATTGTTCGAATGTTGAATCCACCTTAGACTTAAAGTTCTGAAAGTAATGAGTGCTAAGTTATGATGGCAGAACTGCTGCAGCCAACTGAATTTATACTCCCTGATGTTAACCCATTTTTAAGGAAGAGAATACTTGTCAGTGCTAAACAGCTATTTTAGTACAACGCACTCAACAATTTAATTTTAGATAGCTGCTTAAACAGAAGTTCAAGGATCTCTTATTATGGCCATGCGGAAGCTTAGTGGAAGGAACGAAAAACATCCCACGCCTTAAATTTCGTTTTTGAAGAAACTATTGCTCAATATTTAGACTTCCAACGTTCGCGACTGTTTCCTCTTTTAACTATGCTCAAGAAAATATGAACATACATGTTTGATGCTTCATGTTACTGAACACAAATTTTATGAGCATAAGGCTTGATGCTTCGTGTTCCTTTTTACAATTGTTTAATTTAATATCTGTAGGTTCAACGGTGGATTTACTCTTCAGTAGGAATTTGCTCCGAAAGGAGAACATATGTTCATAAAGGCCCTCACTTCACCTCGTAATATAGGTAACCAGCTCTTTTTCTCCTTTTTTTTGTTCAAAAATTTTCATTTGACCAAGTCAAAAAGAAGAAAAAAATTATGTCCAGGTTTTATTTTGGATTCATAGTGATATTATTGGTTCTCGGTGTAATGTTGCCAGAATATACAACAATTAAGATGAAATTGTTTAATGTTAGTCAGTGGAAGATTGATGATGTCTTTCCCATATTTTCTACAGTGCAGTGGACACTCTTTGAAGTTGACTTAAGTTAAAAAAAAAAAAAATAAAAAAAATAAAAAAAAAAACATAAAAAAAAACGCCAGCTGTTTTTAAATAGGGGGGTGTGAACTTCAAACTAAGTAAAACTCAACATGCTATTCAAGGAAGTAAAACAGGTCAAGGCCCAAATTAATTAAAAATAAGTTAAGAATGCCAGCTGTTTCCAAGACTGAACCTTTGTGGGCGAGAATTTCAAAGTTGACGGATGCAATGAAACACAAGATACCAGGATGTGGAGAAGATTAGGATGTTGGCCCACTTATTTTTCGTATTCACTGAAGCCTGATGGAGAATTGATACTTCCGCCAATGGTACTGACTAGGTCTAGCCAGGTTTTAAAAGAGGGATCGTGATGTTTTCCTCGTTTGTCTTATCGATGAAATGAAGCCTTTATGTCCAGGGTTCGAATTCGAATGGGCGACTTATTTAGTATTTGTTCACGAACCATTGAATAAATTTGAATGTCTTGAAAAGAAGAAAACAAACATCACGGGCAGTTAACATTTTTTAATGTTCTGTTTTCAAAAAACAAGAAAAAAGAAAAGAAAAGAAAGAAAACCAAAATAAAAGTGAAAAAAAAGGGAAAAAGATAATCTCCACTAAGAAAAGAAAAGAATACATGCGAATCAAGTATTATTCAGAAATGACGAGCTAAACTGCCGAATTTTTTTAAGGTCAACTTGACCTTAAAAAAATTCGGCAGTTTAGCTCGTCATCAGCCGTGTTGGAGTGACTCCAACACGGCTGTTGATCGAATTTCTAAGTTAATATGCTTATTTTTCCGGGTAGCCCAAAAATTGCCATCCGCCCAAAGTCTACCGATAACAAAGCAAGAAAAGAGTACTCGTAGTAAAGGATAATTCAAGAATAAGCTTTTATTCAAAGAAGGGCTAAATCTTCTGTTGTGAAGCAAAAGCGTACGAATATCTTTCGTCTACGAAGCTCAAAGTGGATAATGATTATCCCTTGGCCGCCGATTTTTCTCTGACCAAACGTTATTACAAGCGACTAGCTTCACATGAGACACACGCCCTGAGTATTGCTTGGATCAGCAATATCTTAAGCCCCATGTGAGTTAACGAATTAGATATGATTTTTTAGTTCGCTAATTATAATATAAGGGAGGATGCTTTTCGTCTCGGCGAGAGCTTGGGACGCACAAAAAGATAGGAATGCCCATGAGTTATTGACCCAGATATCTTTCTTGTCCTATAGAGGCATGAATTCTGTATGCCCGTTTAAAAATGAACCTTGTTACAGCCTTGCTAACCACAGAATCTCCGTGGCTCATCGATAGAGTATTCGAAGATTCGAGGTTTGATTCCTCATGTTAGAACACAATTATTACAATGTGCCCTTAGTGTTGACAAGACTAAAAACATCCCTCCTCACGATTTTGAAGTTTCATTTTCATGGGCGTAATCGGCGATAGGAAATAACTCGGAAAATATTGGTTGGGCTATGTTCGTGAAGCTCGTGTTCTTATCCGCAGTTTAGATACAGAAAATATCAAGGGGCTTTGTGACAGACAAGATCAATCGGCAAGAGGAAGATAGTCCTGAAATAAAATGTAAACAGGAAACCCTGACTTTAATTTATGATAATTAAAGGTATGTGGGTTCCTAAGGCGTGGAGTAAGCTTAATTTCGAAGATGTTATATGAAACAGGACGAGCGAGTTTTTAATAGCGATTAGTCATTGTTGACGTGCCCCTTGCCATGGAAACGACATGAAAACAGGTGCAAGGGGTAGGAGTAGAGAACTTCCTTTGTTAACATGACATTCACAATGTTCTATTCTTTGACACAAAAATTATTATTACTCAATGAGAATAAAAGGCATAGTACAGTGTAAAAGGTGTAATTAGGTATCTTTCCATTTCTGAACTACTAGTTTAAGAAGCGGTAACCAGAGATGAATTTTCAATTCATTTTGCTCTACGTCTAACTTTTGGTAAAAATTAAAAATTGACTTCACCTTTTCTTATTGGGAAAGAACTTCTTCTGATTAAATTGTGAATTCAAAGTTTCCTTGCGTCAACTGCTGTGTTGGTAGGGCAAAGTCGTTAGTATTTTTTCTGTGTTCTCCAGTCTTCTTCATATTTCGTGCAGAAAAAGTAATCAAAGTGCTCTGTGAGCAAACTCGTGAATTGACAGATGACTTACATGATTTTTTGGATTATGTTTAATGTTATCTGGTTTGGTGAATTGTGTGATTGATTGTCATATTTAGAGCACAGGCAGTAGTTCAGTGTTCTCTGATGTAGCAAAGAAACAAAGTAACGTTGGGATAAGACGGCATTACAACCGAAATGATCATGATGTCATGTGTTTTAAACACATCATTTTTGTTTCTGGTTCAAAAGAAAATGTTGGAAGTAAATGTGGGTGAAAAGTGAAATTTACTGTCTATCATTGTAAATATTGGAAAATAAAGGCAATATTGTCTTAATGAAAACATTAATGATTCCCTCTTTATCATATGGGACAAACGGGAACGAGTTTTGAGAGATATAACTAAGCCCAGACTGCCACCGTCATTTTGGATTTCCGCATGGGTAGATTTTGGTCACGTGCTAGGCAACGCATAATCAAGAACAAGATAGAATTTCATTTCAGGCCTATTTATCAATTTTGTGGTAAACAATTTTCGCATTTTAGTACGTAATATTTATTTTGAATCTTCAAATTGTCTTGAAACTTAAAAGAAAATTGTTCTTTAAAAATTCACTGAAAATCGGTAGCCAAAATTATTTATTTGTGTTATTTGACTTTCGTGTTAACCCGTAATTTCGTCAGTCGCCGGCAACTTTTGTTGCTTCACACAGAAAAACACAAGATACGAAATGCAATGATCGATTTTGTCCCCAATCTCACGCCATAACAGGAAAAGCTTTTGAACACCTCTAAACTCGGGAGCGCTTTGGAGAAAGTGATATTTTTAATAAATCTTCGGATTGTTTTCAAGTTCAAGAATTGTAAATTGCAATTTTATGAAGAACGAAGGTTGTTCTCTTAATTCAGTGTGAGTCCTCGGACGTGTGCCAGTCGCTGGCGCCGCTTGTTGAAACTAAAACGAAAAAAAAAATTATTTTAAGATTATCACTGGCTTCTTTTCACCGCACCACTATTCTTAGCAACAAAGGCCGCCATTTCGCTTGTTTATTACTCGCCAAAAACTATCAAATGCACTCAAAAGCCTAAAATCGAAAAAAAGTTTACAGGAATCGACCAATCGAGCGAGCGTGCGAGTGCCATTCTTCACATCATATCTACAACTCGCTCTTGCGCATGCGCGCAATTCACGAGTTAAAAAGGAAAAACGCTTGCATAGGTTCCGGCCCTATGAAGTGAAGTGTTAAAATTTGAACTTCCACGGTTATCATCAGGATTCGTAGAAGTCGGAATCTTTCTACACGTTTTTAGTATGGTCCTTTTTGTACTTTTATAAACTGAGCCTCGTTATATTCATGACGAGAATTATTGGCATTTCCATCCGAGAAAAATACGCTGAGTTATCAAGGTATTTGAAGGCGAATCATTCTTTTCAACAGCCTTTATGATTCAATGCGCAGAAACCTTTTCTTGAAATTCATCAAATAACGGTTGTTTAGAAAACCATTCAAACTAAATTGCTGAAATGTGCCGAAGTAAACGGCATGAAATCTTTCAGTATGTACATATACCGACTGAAAGAAATTATGCCGTTGACGGCGTAAAATCTTACAGTATGTATATTTATCGACTGAGTCGAATTACGCCGTTATTTAATGGCTAAAAATCCTACAGTATGTTTTCCATCGACATAGCCAAATTACGCCGTTACTTAACAGCGCAAACTCTTACAGTATATAGATATACAGACCGGAAGAAATTACGCCGTTAGTTAACGGTATAAAATATTACAGTATAAATCACCGACTGAGCCAAATTACGCCATAAGTTAACGGCGTAAACTCTTACAGAATATAAATATACAGAGTGGAAGTTTGTTATTTTGTCGCCCTTTATGAGAAATGCGATACTGCTAGACAGATGAAAGATATCAGATAACCTATAGTAAACGTGTTACTCATGCTGTGAAAATGGTGGATAGTTGTTCGAGAGAAAATGGAAATTCATCAAATAACGGTTGTTTAGAAAACCATTCAAACTAAATTGCTGAAATGTGCCGAAGTAAACGGCATGAAATCTT